ATCTATCTATCTATCTATCTATCTATCTATCTATCATCTATCATTGTGTTTTTGGTTACAGTGCTGCACTGGTTTTTTCTGCAATAAAACTACTCCAAGATGCAGAGGTTTTCACAGATACATCTAATTCTCAAAAAGATGCAGAGAAAACAGATAAGGTATATTTCAGTATTCACATTTTATTAAATTGATAGTGCTGAGAGCATTATGGGTCACTACAATAAATATTGAAATACTTTTAAAATTATTCTATTGTTATTTTATAGATTTTTACTTTACTACAGATACATTTACTTTATTCCACGTGGCACAATGAAAGCTATGTATTTTACACTTAACAAAACATTTTAGTAAGCATGACATATAAGAGTCATTCTCTATGCATTAATCAATTATAGAACAATTGAACATTAAACCTAGTAATCAGTTCATTTCTCCCTTTTGATCAGGGATATGATGGAAGGATTTCTGCTGAGGATTCCAATCTTATTCACAATGTAACAGCACGAGAACATTTGAATATACACATATGGCTAAAATGTCGTTTGGCATTAGTGATTGCAATTACAGCACAGGCAAGAGGCATTGAAATAATGAAAGGTAATCAGTAGTCAATAGTATATAAAGTCAGGTAAATGCATAAACAAAATTTAATTTTGAAAGCTATCTGTGTTACCTCTTCAGAAACATTTATATATTTATGCATATTTCCCATGATTACTTCCTTGTCTAGAAATACTTTTTTGTAGAAGCTGCTTTTCATTGCATCTTGCTAGCACTATAAACCTCTTTGTCCTCTTGAGCATTCAAGTAGCATTGTAAATCTCTATAGGTGGTTCCTTAGTTAACAACAACTTGTTCAGCAACCATTCACACTTGGAGTGCACTAAATAAATGGTATTTATGGCTTCATCAAAGGTGCAGCTACCACAGTGATTTTACAGTCATGTGATTGGGATTTGAGTTTTCAGAAACCAGTCCAGATTTCTGAACTTTGCAGGGTTCTGTAATTTGTTACCTTCTATACAGGCTTCCCATAAGTAAAATCGATAGGAAAACGTACAAGAAGTCAGAAGTCACAATTATGTGGAGTTCTCATTTAATGTCCCATGGTAATTCACGTTACTGCATCACTGAGCAATACACATTCTGATCCCAATTACCATAGTTAAGCAGGGTCTACATGTGCTGTATTGAGATAATAAAAGCAATATACGTTTGTTCATATTTCTCATAAAATAATGTTAAGAACTATGTTGGATGTGCTCAAATATCTTTTATATCAATTACAATAATAAAGTATTATAAAATGATACTTTGTTCCATAATTATTCTTGATGGCATTATTTTACTTTTCTTCAAGAAAATGAATTAACAGAGTGTTCTAGTCTGATTAATGAAGTAAAAATGGAAGCGGAAGCATTCAATGATATTGAGACTCTTGCTGAAATTACCATGCAAGCCGTTATACTTGGACTTCAAGAAAGACTACCAGTGGCTGATATTAAGCTTCATTTACAGGTATTTAGCACAAAACTGAATTATCAATTATTTCCCAGTATCATTCTTATGAAACAAATGAATTTTGATGCTATTTATAATTTAATTTGCATTTTACAGTAAAATAACCTGAGATTAATTATTACTGCCTAACAGTTTCAATATTTCATAAGAAAAATGCAGAAATAACATTTTCAGGCATTTGGTAGTCACATAATTTTGGTATGGAGTAAGTCTCTCATCAAAGGAGATTACTGTATTCTTTGGAGTGTAAGACACTCCGAAGTATAAGATACACCTAGTTTTTGGGGAGGAAAACAAGGGAAAAATATCTGCCTCTGCCTCCCAGCAATTTCCCTCCTTGCAACAAACTGCAAACAGTACAGACAATATACACTGTTTATAATGTTACATTTCAGACTATACTTGTACAGATGCTGTCAAAATTGATGTGCTTTCTGGAAGTATAGTTATTCTCTGCTATTTAAAAGAAGATACAATAGTACTGACATTTATTTTAAAAAGCTTCTTCATTTTGTTAAGCTGTCTAGAACAATAATAAAGCAGTCTTTAAAAAATAAGTCTAATAATTTGAACGTTCTATAGGCATTTATAGTTACTGACTTACCTCCTTGCAGCAAACAGCCTGATTTGCACAAGAAAAAAATCTCTGCCTCTGCCTCCCAGCAATTTGCCTTCTGGAGCAAACAGTGTTTCACTTTCAATTTCTCTTGATCATTAGCTGTTTCAGGCTGCAGGGATTGCTATAACCTATTGCGGTCTCCACAAGCCCCTGTTTGCTGCAAGGAGATAAATTGCTGGGACGCAGAGGCCAAATGGTGGGAGCTGGTGGGTTGGTGGGGCTATATTCAGTGTATAAGACGCACCCAAATTTTTACCCTCTTTTTTTGGCGGGGGGGAGGTGCATCTTATACTCCGAAAAATACGGTATATCTTAGCTGTTAGATTTGTGTAGTAGGTGGTTCCAACCATGCTGTTAATTGAATCTAATTTTGAGAAGAGTCATGTTCAAAACTCTGCACAGTTTTAAGAGGGTTAGGGTAATATTCTATAGATACTGCAGTCAAGAATTGTGTATACTTACATATAAAACAGGATTATTGCTTGGCAGAAGAGTAGTGATAGAAAACAGGATAAATTTAGACATTTCTTTGGTAATAGAATTTGAGAGCTGAAAATGTAGGTCTGCCTCTCTGTCATCTATCTTCTTTCACACAGAATGTAATCAAATTGCTTGAAGAAACGACACTGATTTCTCCACCAGCTAATTTAATATTAGTAGAGAGTATGCTTCTACTAGCTGATATAATGAGAACAGAAACAGAAGATGGTTCAGAATCATGTAAAACGGACCAGTTGAATGTATTAGTTCAGGCACATGAACTAGTAATTAAACAGGTAAGTATATACTAATAATTGAATGTTACTATAGTTTTTCAGTGTTTTTCAGCTTCATTGGAAAGCCTTAAATTTTGGTGGTTTTATCAGTCTTATCCTCAGCTACTGCATTTTTAAATTTAAAATTGAACGTTAAATACAAAATGAAATTAATGTTATGTATTGGTGGACTTCTAAAACCAGGCCAGGAATCAGATCACATTTAATTTTGTTTTTGAAATTGGGTCAAGTATGCAAGGGATGGGTGCAGTTCAGATGGATCGTGTGGCAGAACCTTTTACTGTTTGATCTTTTGCATCTTCAACACTAGACCATGCTCTGTGAACAAATTGCATTTCAAACTCTTAGAAAAAAATTATGTTCCTTTTATCACATTTCTATGTGGTAAATGCAATGTATTGTATATGGCTAGATCAAAAATGATAGAAAGATTGGTAAAGTTACTTTCAGATTTGTGGGTCTGATCCTGATCTTCTACTTATTATCATTAACTCTTGATTTGACATTCAGTTGTTCAACCTGAAGAAAATAAAACCATTTTTTATTTACTGAAACTGATTTACAATGAATGGATTATTTTTGGAATATAATTGAAATCTATGAATTAGGTACACAAATACTAACTACAAGTCTTTGTTTTACTTAGTTGAAAATACTATTAGTTAAGCTCGTCATGCAATGCCACATCATGGAATGTTCTTCATTCCCACAGACCTAAATTTTCTTCTCTTTTTCTCTAAACAATTAGCAAGCAGGGCTTAATGAGCACAAACCCTGATTAGGAAATTTTGAGACTATTTCCCCTCCAATTATCTATATATAAAATACAAATTTTAATTTATGTTGATATTGCGGCTCAGAAGAAATAGATGGTCAAAGTCAAATTCTGAATTTCTTTTGTATTTTTTTAAAAGAAAGTACTTTCTTCTTTTCTTATGGATAATTCAATGAAGCTTTTAAATATGAAGTGGGAAATGATTTATTTAGACATTGAGATATATTTATGTGATTTCTTATTTTCCTCCATTCCCTTCTCTCTTTTTCCCTAGTAAATTGATGTCCCATGCTGTTGGGCTATTATGAGTTATTATGGGGCTAAATGGTTTGTCCCTTGGGATATTTTGATAATGTGCATATCTTTTATTACAAAGTTGACATTTTCAACAGCTGTTTATTTTGGGGCAATCACTTGAACAACATGGACAAGATCCTACTTTAACAACTATAAAAATGCCTATGATGAACATATACCTGCCACACATCGCACTACTGGCAAAAATCAAAATGAGAATTGGTAAGGATTGTTTAATACAATACAAGCTTTTGTTATTTCTGAAACTTATTTAAGGGGTTTAATGTATGTGGAATCTATTGATTTCATATATAAAGTTATACTATAAATTTTTGGCTAGCATCAATATATATAAAGACATTGTAAAGAAAAACATCTTTCTATAACTTACTATGCCTACAACTATTTTGTGTTTCACATTTTTGATAATTTATAGCAGATATAAACTATATAAAACTAACAGGATAATGTTTACTGAATTTATATTAAAATAATCTTTTTTTTATGACAGAAATCCTAATTCTTCAGTCAAACGTACTGTATAACCAAATTCTTACTTACATTTGGAAGCTAGATAAATTTTATTTTAATATATTTATATGGGCATCCAATTCACTCAGTGGCTCACAACATTTTAAATCCATAACATAAAAACCATAAAACCCCAACTTCCATGGCAATGGCAACACATTCAAACCAACCACTTGATCACTGCAAAATGTTTCACTTTTGTAAGTTCAGAAGCTTTGCTTTGAGCTGTAGTACCTGTATTCTAAAAGACAGAGCTACAGAAATTAATTGACCTGTTTCTTCTTTCCTCAATTCATTCTCTCATGACTACCATATTTTCCTGTTTTCAGGTATGAGCTGGTTGTAAATTTCATTGCATAACTGTTATGTTTTCCTTTGAGTAATGAAGACGTATTGGTGAAATAAAGAGATACAATGGATTGAAAATTAAGAAAATATAAATCATATGGAATTTATATGATTTTGTATTTAAAATCAACATTCCATGAAAGATCCTTTGCAAAAGTGTTTGTTTCAAAGATAAATTGACTTTCAATTATTCCAATTCACATGTTAGGTTAATTAATCAATTGTGATTCTAACAGTTTTTTTTAATTCCATAAAATTTTACATTGGCTGTAGTGTCTGATTAACACATGGTATGAATCACTTGTCATTACGAGGGTTTCACAAGGTCTATAATCTTTTGAAAATTGGTACTGAATGAATTAATACATTGCTGATTGTTAGTCTAGTCTTATTCTTGTTCTTCTGTGGGCACAGTTCATTATTTTCTACAGGTAGTCCTTGCTTATCAACTATTCGTTCAGTTATCATTCAAAGTTGTCATGGTGTTGAAAAAATAACTTTACAGCCCATATATGACTATGTACGACTTTTTTGTATCCCTCAATCAACTTGATCACTGTTACAGTCTACATGTTTTTTTTAAATTTTTTAAATTGTTTTAGTTAAACAAAAACACACAAAAAAAGAATATTCTTTCATTACATCTTGTAGAAAGCGTATCGATTGGTTACAAATATATTCCGTGCGTTTCTTCCACCATCCTTACATATACTTCATTCAGATCGAGTTGTACATTTTAAGTCAAGAAAGAAAAATTGTGTATTTTACTATCCCTGTACCACAATTCTGATTTAATTACCATTATTTAAACATGTTTTTATCTAGAATCATTTATATTTAAAGACACAACCACCTACTGGCATTTGCAGTTTCAATAGATCTCCAATAACGTTACACCTTTATGACATATTCTAAAACAACTTCAGTTAAGTAAGATATCTAAGCATTCCCCCCTCCCAATAACACACCTGTATATATCATTAGATATTATCCATTAACATTTCTTTGTTATTATTATAGTTGACTAAAAGTTATTTACTGTTTATCTCACCTTTCCTCTCCACAGGCCCACACAATATTATACCTTTATAGCCATCTTTAAACAATGATTTATTAATAAGATTTGTAGGTCTTTTCCCTCAATCCCAAATTAGTTAATTACATGCTAAGAAAATAAACGTTAAGTATCTAAGACAATCTAAAAGATGTTAACATTTCTACTTATCAATCACCAAAAGTATACATTAACATTTTTATGGCCCGGTTATTTATCCTAATTAAGGTTATCATTTCACTATTAGTATCATAGTAAATTATATGTTAACAAATATACATTCAATGGTAATATAGAACAGTCTATAAAGTACTAAAATCTCTACTTATTAATCATCAATAATTAACTAGCTTTTTTTTTCATCAACTAGCATTATTAACCAGTATCTTTCCAGTAACAAAATGGTCTTTTCTCTCTCGCCAGCTGTTGTGTCGATTCCCTTTCCAGAACCTTTCCAGGGTTTAAGACTTCTGTCCGCACTTTGTAGCTTAAAAGATCTCTCATGTAGTTTTGTTGCCCTTGAGTTGTTATTAATGTATGCTTAACTTTGGTTGTCAGGTTTATTTCTGGATAGATTTGTCTTATTAACTCCATCTTTTTCGCTCTTTCTTTTTCTCCTGCATCTTGGGGTTTGGGATGAAGCACCAAATTATCAAAGTCACTTTTCCAGCTTCCCTTCTTTCCACCTTCACTCACGTTTGCTCCATTAATAAGTTCATCTAACTTCTTATCTTTGTTTTCTATATTTTCATTCGCTTCTTTAATTTCTGAGGCTGCAGCCCCATCATCTTTTTTTGTGATACCCCATAGTCTGTCCCATTTCTTGTCAAACCTCTCAAGTCCTTCTGAGATGTTTTGAAGTCCAGCCAAAATATTTTGAATTATCAAGTTTTCTTCATCTGAGTATTGATCCATTTTTTAGAGTAAAAAGAAATATAAGGGAAAAGCAAAGAAAGGAATTTGGTACTTTCTGCCACTCTAGCCTGTCACAAGTTTTTGAAGAATATATCTATTTTTATTTTAAATCTTAAGCAGATGTTCTTTTATGGTTTTCAAAAAAGAAGGGTTCAAGTTTTTTTCTTTCCTTTTCCAATTCTTGCCAAAATATTTTCCACACGCTCCAGCAGTAGACTATTTGTGACCTTGAGTCTTTATCAAGTTTTATAAACAAGTTCCAAACCCTTCTGTTGCAAAGTCAGTGTTGTCAAATAGGAGTGAACAAAGGATACATTTGTTGCAACAGCAAAAGGAAAAAAAACTTCAGTCTTAGACTTCCAAGTGGCAGATTCAACTATTTTAAAGACTTTTTCCTTGAGTATCTTTAATATGATATTATAACAAGTAGAAGGAGAAGTTTATTAAAGTAAAAAAAGTTTTAATTTAAGCCAAAAAAGTTGGAGTAGCAAAAAGAAATAGAGGAAAAAGATCAGTCTCTTCACCTCAAGCGGAGAAACAGGAACATTACAATCACTTCAATCCACAAAGATTGGAGAGAGGGTTTGCAAGAAACTACAATTTACAGTGCTCTCGAAATTGTTTTTTCTCCAATGTCTCCTCTCAGCGAGGGGAAGGGGAGAAAAAAAAAGCAAGCAATTTCTGTGGGCAGTCTTTCTTTTGCTTAACCCTTTCTGCTTCTGGCATAGACAGATTGCTTTGATGTGTAGAAGAACAAAACAGCTGGAAAGGTGAGTCATGGCCATATAATTTCCCACTTAGTGACTGCTTTGCTTAGCAATGGAGTTGCTGGTGTCAGGATCATTAAGTGAGACACTACATGTATGTAGTTTAGAGAAAATATAAGTATGCACTTCTAAATTTCACTTGCAAAGTATATATCTGGAATAATTCATTTCTTGTATTAAAGGGCTGCATTTCATTTATTCAATGTTTGACTTTTATTTTGCTTTTTCATTTATTCAATGTTTGACTTTTATTTTGCTTTAGAAATAATTGGTGAAATATTTTTCTGTAAATTGATTTCTAGGGCATACCTTAACTTTAGAATTATTATGTAAATCCAAACCACAAAGTGAGTTGCAGTGGTTAAAAGCCCTACAATACACAGAAACAGCACTAAATCTTTGCATAGCATCAGTAAAAGAAGATTTAGAGCTAGAAGCAGAACTTCTTTTTCGAAAAGGTAAAAAACAACTAATTTTTTTTCTAAAGGGCTGCTCAAATTTCATGTTGCATCTGAGAGCTAGAGAGTTGATAACCTAGCTCCCTAACAGTTTATAGTATTCTGTTTTGTATATTCTGTGCTTCCTATTGCAAAGTATTGTAGTATACCTCCCTCTGCAGACAAGTGGCTAATTAAGTTATGTCTTGATATCCAATAACTGTCAAGCCCCAGGGAAATCAGAAAATCCAGGCAGTTTAAATGAGTATAAATATTTATTGCAAGTCTAAGCTCTCTACTACCAGTAGAGCTCTGAACTACCACCAGTAAAAGCAAAAGTAGATTAAGAGTAAAAAAAAAATGAAGGTGGGCTGATCTTAAATCTCTTGTGGCATAAAGGGACTCATAACTGATGATGTGTTTGACCCCTTCCTAAGCCTGGTCATCTCCTATATCAACTTTGTATAGTATGCTAAAAGTAAATCTGATGCAGAATTTAATTGAACTTGGGAAATTTTTGGATTACAATTCTAAATATGTACTTGCAGCAAGTTTGCGTTTCTCTTAACATAAAAATTTAATGCGCTAGATGTTAATAATCTATTAGATGAAATTGGATTTTCAGATGCTTAATTAAATTTACTGTCATTCTTAATTTTATTTTATGATGATTCCTACTATTGATATTCATATATTATTTGGATTTTAACAGTGATCTGTAGTTTTCTGTGATCTGTAGTTTGTAATTTTCTATAGTTTAAGTTACGTAAAACTAATTAATGAAATATTTAACATTGAAACTTAATTCCTTGATACTAGTAAATTCCATTTCCTCATTTGTTTTATTTGTCTTTATTTTTTTATCTTTTCTTTTTCATTGCCATTTTAAAAAATTATTAAGAAAATATAATTTAAAAGAAAATAGTATTCTGCTTTATTATTTCTATCAGGAAAAACAAATCTCTTTAAATAAATTCATATGTATCATTTTTAGGAAGAATAGAACGACAACTTGATTCATTAGGTCTTAATAAATCAGAATTAGCTGTTGACAGCTTGTTGGATGCCATAACTTTAAGCCTGCTGAGTTACCAGCACTATGGGTGAGCAGTTTTTCCCCCTATGTTATTTAGATTAGTATGTCAGGTAAAAGAAAACAATAATTAAAACATACAATTTACACTGAAAAGTTCAGACCATAAAACATTTAACAGGGCTGGATGAATAAAACTTATTCACTTAAAAATATAAATGTTTGCCAAATGCTAACTAAGATGTTTGGATTCCTTGCTTTTTCATTTATTTTTTTGCAGATTAATAAGAAGATCATATATGGAGATAGCGCTGCTTTATTTTTATTTATGTACAAACAAGGAAGAGTCTCCGACGTCAGGTACTGTGAAAGGAAGAACATTTAAGCAGAAGGTATGTAAAATTGTTTTTAAGGCTAATATATATTTAAACCCCAAATTTAGTATTATATTACAGGTCTATAAAGCTATAAGCCTGAATATAGAGACATTGTTATTGTTTTGTGCATGAAGTTGAATTAATGGAAGGGGTCAAAATGTCAGGACAATGAGCAAGGTAATGTGATTGAAATCCTACCATTGTTGTCTATAAGCATCAATGTTATATGTACAGCAACCCTTGTTAAGTAATTGTTCACATTTACAGTGGTGAGAAAAAATAAATTTGCAACCAATCCCTGGCCTGAACAGGAGTTGGACGGGACTTGGTTGTTTTGCCGAGGTGGGATTCCTTCTGATTGATACCTCAGCAATGCCGTGGGAGATGGTTTTGGCAATGACTTCCCTCATTTCAGCTGACAGTGCAGGACCCTGGTTCTCCACGGGCCTAGCCTTAGATAGAGCGAGATAACCCCTGTCCTTAGTAAGCCTTGATTCCTCCTCCTCGGGAATAAAGCACTGGAAGGGCTCTAATTCCTCCCTTATGGAGGAACTGGGAGAATCCGGGTAGCCCAGCGAAGGGTAGCCTCCCGCCAGGAGATTCTTCCTGACACCCCTCATCTATCAAGGAGGGGGAATACCCCCCCCCCCGAGAAGGAACAGGACCCCTCCCCCAGACCAATCAGGCAAAGGACAAGGCAATGAGGCCCTACGCTCAGGGGATTTGGCCTGTCCCTGGGCTTTCCCAGAGGCTTTTCCTGATGTCTTGTGCCTCCTAGCCTCCTCCCTTTGAGAGCTTTTGCTCCCTGAGGAGCCATGGCAATCCTTCCCTTTGGTGCCCTTCCTTCCCTTCTCGCTTGTGGTGGAGGATCTGGCCTACTGCGCTTCGAAGAGGGCCCAGGCAGATCCTCCAAACCTCCATCTGCCATCATGCGCCTTTTTTTTTAATTGAAAATTTTTGAAAACAAAACTTTTACAAATATTTACCTCCCTCCCCCCCCCCCCCCCCCCCCCCCAACCTCCCCATCCGACTTCCAAGAACCAATACAGAGTATAAATTCATCTTCTCCACTCCAGTTTATATCTCTCATTTGATTGGTCCATCGTGTGCCTTTCTTGAAGATCTTCCCAAGCTGGCAGTGGCTGAAGTGTGAAGATGGATCAGCAGCAGTAGGATGGCACCAGGTGCGAGCCAGCTGGCTCCACAGTGCTCGTAGATCTGCTGCAGGAGCTGGAGTATGACCAGGTGGCCAACCACTCCAATGCCACTCAATCACTGTTCTGAGGGAATGGAGACCTTGCTGGTGTCCCGTACAAGATCAATCATTCCCCAGCGGCGATCTGCGGCTGAGAGTGCGAAGTGCAGCTCTTCGAAGACCTCTGAGGCTTCTTCAGCAAAAACAGCACAAAAATGTCCTTTAAAATGGCTGCTGTGCTGTTCGGGCGCGATTTCAAGCCTCTGCTGACAGTTGCAGCCTCTGTAAACTGTTGCAAGGAGGTCCGCGAAATCGTGCCTCCAAAATGGCCACTGCACTCACCGGGAACGAAGGAGAGCTGTCAGAAGCAACCGGAGCTCCTAATGGAGGCTCCGGAGCCACTTAAAGTCCAATGACAGCTGGGAGGCGAGTCAAGGAGCCCCCTGACACCCCTGTGCTTGTCAGCCACCGCTGCTTGCGACCAGCAGACCTCTCAGCAATTTAACAATCAGTGATTAAACAATTTCAAAGGAAACCTATACTACTCTACAATCTTTCTACTATAGAAAAAACTAAAACTGTACTGGAGAGTCCCAGTCTATCTGCTCAGAACTGAGGAGCTCACCAAATTTAGTCCAAACGGGCAGACTGAGTTTTTAAACTGATCTCAATGAGGCACAGGAGGCGTGGCTAAATAAAAATCTACTCAGTCCTAGATAGACTGAATTTAACCCATGCTTGGCTCTCCACGCAACGTACAGGAGAAAAATAAATTTGCAACCAATCCTAGCAATTGCTTCATTTAATGATCCAGTTGCTGAGCCCAATTGTTCAGTTAATCATGGCACAAAGAGCAGATGGAAAAAATGCCTGTCTGTCTGTCTGTCTCCCTCCCTCTCTCTGCCTGGATAGATAGATAGATATAGAATTTTAATCATGTTATTATCATTTGATATTATTTACTTAACTCCTACAGACACTACTGTGTATATTATACATATACATATACTGCGTATAAAATAGGGTACTACACTACAGACACTATTACTGCAGTTCTCAGCTTTTCTGGTTTCAGGACCACTTTATATTTTTGAACATAATTGACGATTCCAAGGAGTTTTGATTTATGTGGTTGCATTTATCAATATATACTGTATTAAAAATTAAAATTGAGAAATGTTAAAATATTTATTTCACTTTGTGGACCCTCTGAAAGGAACTCATGTTGAGAAGAACAGCATTATGCTGATCCCTGAAATATTGATGTGAGTATCTAAGCGCACATCCACATAGCTCTCTTGCCTGATGTGAGGACAGCCCATTAATAAGTCTTCGAGTATATATCTACAGGCCTCTGCTTTTCTTCTATCTGTCCCCCCCCACACAACTCACCCAGCTCAAGAATAATTGGAATGCTATACTTTGGAAATGATATTTTCCTGAACATCCCACATCATGCATTGTAGAAGTGGCCTGAAATGATCTGCTCCATGCCAGAATATCTTGTAGCTCCAATTTAATTCTGCTAATTTTCTGTGAAACCACTTTCTTCAGTCAGGTCCCTGACATTCCTCTGTCTTCCTTTGGATGCAGAATAGACCAGAACTTTCCTTTTGAAGCCACTTTGTAAATGTATTGGTTTACTGATCATCTAATGTGAAGACATGAAACCAGCCTGTGATTGGCTTAACACTAACAAGAAGTAATTGAAATTAAATAAAAATACTTGAGTCTTTCTATAGCCTACCTGGCAGGAAATTCCCTTCTCATTAGCTGCTGTTTTCAGGAAAGTCCCATTTTCTCACATCATCCCCTGCCTTATGTTTTTAGGATACTTAAAGTTCCCACTCTCATGCTAAAATATACCCTACACATGTAAATTGCATTCATTACCAAATCTGAGATCTCTCCCCCCCCCCAAGTGAACTGTTTAAAATGGCCTCGTGAAAACATTTAAAGGAAGTAAATTGACTGAGAACGACCACAGAGGGAAGAATCAGTCAAAAACCTGTGGCCAAGTAAATTACATTGTTCCTATTCACCAATCACATCTCAGGGATAATATGGATAGCATGTTGATCCAGTAGGAAGAGAAAAATAATAAAAGATCACCCAGAGAGATCTACCTAAAACATTTTGCCTTTACTCAGGGCTGCTAAACAAGCTGCCACTGCTTTTCTGGTGTTCACCTTTTTATTGTTTGCATGCTAATAAAATATCACCAAACTGAGTTGCTTCAGGTAAGACAGATTGTGACTACAGCACCACAATAATCTGCACAATTAATCCCCTTTCTCAAACACCAGCATAATTTCACCTGCTCATGGATCTTGGCTTCACAAATTCAGACAACCAGTGGTAGCAGCCAAAAAATACAAAATATCCCTCTGCCCTGGATAAAATAGCCGATCAATTGGCCCAACAGGGTAAAAGAATAATATACAAAATTTCCACAGGAGTGTAGTGATTTAACAGGAGAGAAGAAAGTTGTTTTTTACTATATTAAATGATATAGAAGAACCATGGTGGCACAGTGGTTAGAATGTAGTACTGCAGGTTACTTCTTCTGATCACCGGCTGCCAGCAGTTTGGCAGTTCGGGTCTCACAGGCTCAAGGTTGACTCAAACTTCTATCCTTCCGAGGTCGGTAAAATAAGGACCCAGATCGTTGGGGGCAATATGCTGACTCTGTAGACTGCATAGAGAGGGCTGCAAAACATTGTAAAGTGGTATATAAGTATAAGTGCTAATTACTATTGCTAATAATGGTTGAAGTATATTATTTAATGCCTAGGACGTTTTGGAAAATTTGTAACTTGAAATATGTAATATATTTATTCACCACTATTGCAAATATATTTATTTTTAATTCTTTCTCCATCCTACTTGCTCTTTACCATTCTGGCATGTCATTTTATTTGGAGTAAACATGCAAGCATACTTGGCACTGAAGCATTGTGTTGCACGTATTTAACATTTTTAAACTCTCAGAAGGCTTTTGATTTCAGAGGCCATCTCAGAAGTAAAATTGATGCCCATCTTTCTGTTTGCAGTATGCTGAATCTGTTTTATTTTTTTTAAGTAATTTTTTTTAAAAAAATAATATCAGGTGAGACAGGGACCTTTGGGAAAGATACATAGCATTTGTTAGCACCATACTGAGGAACTTAGCCAGAGTTTCAGAGTGCTTATTCTGTACTGAAATTGCTGGGAAATGAAGGAATATCAGGCACCTTTCTGAAAGAAGCAAACAAAATTGCAATTCCATTTAAGGGACAGAGAATAAAGAAAAAGAACATGAACCATTAAGTAGTAATTTTCTACACACATTTGAGTAAATCAATAAAGTTATTTCAGAGTACATACATATGTTTCCATTAAGGTTGATTGTTTTTTTCATAGCATTTCAGAAGTTTTTCGGTGAGTGTAATTTTTTTACATGTACATAGAAACTCTTTCTCATAATCTATCATTTTGTACCAACCTGAATCAATCTTTGTTACATTCAGTTTAATAACAGACTTTCAGCTACTTCTGGGGAAATTACTCTTCCTGAAATGTACAGAGTACAAGCCTGGATTGCTGTAAGAAGTGCTGCACAGGTTTGTGATGCTTTTTGTTAATCTGATTTATCTTTGCTTATTTTTTCCCCCACATATCTTTTTGATGGAGAAACACTCCAGGGAATTTATATTTTACATTGAAAAGAATAAAGGAAGGATACAATGGCAGTATTTTGTATCTTTTATGCAGGTAGTCCTTGTTTAGCAATGGTTCACAGTGATGTAAAAGCAACTTTACAACAGATCTGCAAAGAAAAGCTAAAATAAGATTGTGTACACAATCCCTGATTCACTTAGTGACTGTTTTGTTTAACAAATTAATTGCTGGTTCCATTAGTAGTCACTAAATGAGGATTTCCTTTATTAGACAAGCGTTGTAATTTCAACTTTAAGATTATTTTTGTATCATTAAGGTACTGTATGTTAAAGCTTGCAAAATCATAATGGCTGATTTCAGTAATGTTGTTCAAATTATTTTACATTTTAAAGGCTTATTTAATAATTAACATTTGCAAATTTTAAATATTTCAAGGCTTCTCTTCAGTATATAATCAGAAATCTTCCTTTTTGTATCACTTTACTATGTTTTAACAGTTCACCTCAACATTTGATTCTGATGAGATTAATTAGTTTAGTACGGTAGTTTTTATATGTTTCTAGTTTTAAGCTTACTATTTTAAATCTAGGTCAGTGAAGCAATTCTGACTTGTCAGCAGTTAACTGGAAGAAAGGCTATTAAATTGTATCACATGAGACAAAGACTGCAACAAAGTATGCCTGAATTTGCTCTTCTGGATCTCAGTTCTTCTTACAAAGATTTTTTGTCTGGTATTTGCTTTTTCATATTATATTGTAACCTAGTCTAAATGTTGGTACAGTAGAAAATTAGAGTGTTCATGACTGTTCATTTTAGGTGATGGCGAAAAAACCCCCACAGTGACAAAAAAATGGATATTTTTGTTTCTGTTTTTAAGTAATAAGAAAAAAATTGCCTCTTGAGTCGTAAACAAATCCATTTAAATCTAATTTCAGTTATATTGTTTGTAAACATTGTAATATTTTTATGGCTGAGATAATATAATTAATTTGCTGGTTATCTCTATAGAACTATTGTTAAATGATACAAGTAATACATTATTATGTTCTTGATCCCAATCTTCCCAAGTGTTTGTTCATCATGCATTTCAGTAATAAGTTGTTTCATAATTCTATCAGGTGGCAAAATAAAGCAATCGTTAAAATATGCAGCAAATGTATTATCAAACTTAGAGAAAAATAACAATCACTTTGTTGCTTAAAATGCAGTAAAGATATTGATTTACACATGTTTGTATATTACAAATACATGATTTAGACAGCTAAGTCTGGCAAAATCAGAAGGAAATGGCCAGAAACCAGATTAGTCAGTAACCATAAGATAGCCATATAATAATTAAAGCCTTCACTATTGGCAGAGGATTATTGATAGGCTACCCAAATATGCCTATAGGAACAGAAACAATGGGGTTTAAAATTTTGAGAATCCTTATGAATTTTCAATATTCTGCATAAATGTGACCTAAAAATGATCTGCTCTCACACAAGTCCTAAAATTAGATACACAGAATCCAATTAAACCATGAGTCAAAAACATACTTGTACATTTATCCATTGAGGAAAATGATCACTAGCTACCTGTGTATTACACGTCTGTATTACAGCTGTGTACCTCTGCCCAGAGCTCTGCACCTATGTATTATAGCTAATTCTATTGCTAAATTTAACACAGTATAAATCCTTAAAATTTACTGCTTACAGTGTTTTATTTAAGTTTTTTTTTTTAATATTTCATACTCTAGGAAAATACGAAGTTACTTATAAAATTCCCGTGGTGTGTTCTGTACCAGAGACAAAATCAGACTGTGACGGAGTTGAAAGAGTCGCTTCTAAAGAAAACCAGGGCAAACTGGGAATACCTTGGCTTCATGTACTACGCTACCATACGTACTTAACCAGTTTTTTGAACCAGAGTCCATTGGCTGGTAGGAAGCTTTGCTTTGCTAAAGAAGTAATATATTTTAGATTTTTAATATTGTGCTACAACCAGGTTTGTTGTTTCTATAAAATAGAAATCCTAATATTTTCCCAATTCCTCAGAATCCCCTCTACTTTTGACCTGCTTGTGAGCTTTAATCTTAGATGACTGTAAGTAGTGCAAATGGAATAGCAGGGGTAGTAGTGTTGGGCAATGTTTTAAATCAATGTAGAATTGATATTTTGCATGAGGAAGGTATTAACGCTCTGAATAAATTGTCTAGCACATGGATGTCTAAACTTTTGGCTTGACTGAGCCCCACTGAGGGAGGAAAAATGATTTTGGCTCATGTATAAAATATATAATATAGTTAATGTATATAAATCACACAATAATATTAAAAGTTTATGATCTTGTGGGGATGCATTACTAGCTGTCAAGGGCCGCATGTTGCCTGTGGGCCACAGTATGGACATGCTTGGTCTAGCATTTCTAGATAATTCTGTGGAACAGTCTTCACTAAAATGTAAAAGAACCCCTGCTGATTAATATAGACTAATACACCACTCCACATTTAGCAACTATCTTTCATTAGTAGCCATCTGCAAATACAATAGTAATATAATTCATGGTCTGAAAATGTATGCATTTACAACCAATTTTACCAGACTGAGAGTAACACTGATGTAGCTGTACGAGAGAACTTTATAAGGATGACACAGCAGCAATCAGTGATCTTTGCAGTGTCTCCTTCTGTCTCACATGTTCACTTAACGACCAGGTCTCTGGAACAGGACTTGGTCACTAAATAAGGAGAGGGTAAATAGAAGTGATCTAGATAAATCAAAGATTCTAAGAAAAAATATCGCCCAGGACTTACCATTAATGTTTCTAAATGTCCCAAGATCTGAGAAAAACTGATGCCAGGCCTGACAGTTACCTGAAGTACACTATAATTTCATGTGAGATATTATGGAAAAATTTTTACTTTGATTATTCCTTGTGAATAGTAATGTCTCAAAAAATCTACTTTGAAACGCAGGTGAACTATTTTGTAATTTTTATAATAGGTCATACATATTGCTATAGGATTTCAGCTAAATAAATTAAATACATACGTACCTTACTATTATTATTTTCCACAGCTGTCCCAAAAGCAGGAAAAGGCTTATTTGTTAAAGAAGATGTGCTTTTTACCTCGGTGCTTGACACAACAATTGCTCTGCGCTTGGCAAAACTTCATTATTTTTTTAAAAGCCATTTGCCCATTTATTCTGGCTGCTGTCTTCAAGAACCTCCGAAACAACTGTATATCATGGAGAAATCTTCCCTTAGCATGACTACAATTGGAAAGGTAATTTGAGATTTAATCATAATTGTAAAATGTATTGATACATAATATTCTATTTGTCTGTAAAATAGGTAAGATACCTAATAAAATGATTATATTATATTATTTATTTATTTTACATAAGCTGCCAAAGCGGTTTTGTTTTGGTTCTTTGGGCATCAGGATAGAAATATGTTTTATTAAATATTTAGAACATCACAATAAATAATAAAAAGAATTTACAAAAGAAAATATAATTATTTTTATTTTGATATGATTATGATGTCATTATTTGCCTGTGCTGTGAAGATTTAATCTATTACTTGAGCAATATCAAGTAAATTCTTAATCTGGTGAGATGGGAGGCTATATAAATTTGATTAATAAATAAAACCTATTTTTTACCATTTTTTCTTTGGGAAAGGTAGGAAAAAGACATTTTGACATTTTAGAATTGCTCTCTAAATAGCGGACAGAATATTGCTACCTAAATAGTGGACAAAATATCAAATCATACTTCTGTTATATACAGTTGCAAGAAAAAGTATGTGAATCCCTTGGGATTACGTGGAGTTTTGCATGAATTGGTCATAAAATGTGCTCTAAACTTCATCTAAATCACAACAAGAGACAAACACAGTCTGCTGAAAATAATACTATACAAACATTAGATGTTGCCATGGTTTAATTGCACATAACATGTAAACATTCACAGTGCAGGGAGGAAAAATTATGTGAGCCCCTAGCCTAATGACGTTTCCAAGAGCTAATTGGAGCCAGGAGTGAGCCAACCTTGACTCCAATCAGTGTGATGATATTGGATGTGTTGCTGACAGCTGTTCTGCCCTTTAAAAACACACACCTGTTGTGGGTTTACTGGTTTCAAGAAGCACTGTCTGATGTGAACCATGCCTCGCAGAAAAGAGCTCTCAGAAGACCTACGATCAAGAATTGTTGACTTGTGTGAAGCTGGAAAGGGTTACAAAAGTATCTCCAAAAGCCTTGATGTTCATGTGTCCATGGTAAGACAGACTGTCTACAAATGGAGAAGGTTTAGCACTGTTGCTACTCTCCCCAGGTGTGGTCATCCTGTAAAAATGCCTGTAAGAGCACAGCGCAGAATGCTTCATGAGGTAAAGAAGACCTACAGAAATCTCTGGCACATGCTAACATTTTTTGTTGACACATCTACAATAAGGAAAACATTAAACAAGAATGGAGTACATGGGAAGACACCACGGAGGAAGCCATTGCTGTCCAAAAAAAATATATTGCAGCACGTTTGAAGTTTGCAAAAGAGCACCTGGATGTTCCACAGCACTACTGGCAAAATATACTGTGGACAGATGAAACCAAAATTGAGTTGTTTGGGAAAAACACACAACACTATGTGTGAAGAAAAAAAAGGCACAGCACACCAACATCAAAACCTCATCCCCACTGTAAAACATGGCGGAGGGAGCCTCATGGTTTGGGGCTACTTTGCTGTCTCAGGGCCTGGACAGATTGTTGTCATTGATGGAAAAATGAATTCCAGAGTTTATCAAGACATTTTGCAGGAAAACGTACGGCCATCTGTCCACCAACTGAAGCTCTGCATAGGATAGGTGATGCAACAGGACAATGACCCAATGCATACAAGTAAGTCAACACAAAAATGGCTTCAACAGCACAGAATACACCCTCTGGAGTGGCCCAGTCAGAGTTCTGACCTCAACCCAATTGAAATGCTGTGGCATGAACTTAAGAGAGCGATTCACACCAGGCATCCCAAGAATATTGCTACACTGAAAGAGTTTTGTGAAGAGGAGTGATCCAAAATTACTCCAGATCGTTGTGCAGGTCTGATCTGCAACTACAAGAAACGTTTGGTTGAGGTTATTGCTGTCAAAGGAGGGTCAACCAGTTGTTAAGTCCAAGGGTTCACATACTTTTTCCTCCCTGCACAGTGAATGTTTACATGTTATGTGCAATTAAACCATGGCAACATCTAATGTTTGTGTAGTATTATTTTCAGCAGACTGTGTTTTTCTATTGTTGTGACTTAGATGAAGTTCAGAGCACATTTTATGACCAATTCATGCAAAACTCCACGTAATCCCAAGGGGTTCACATACTTTTTCTTGCAACTGTAGTTTGTATTTAAATGCCTGATGTCTGTTTCTAATCGTTTTTATTAGTCCAGTTTCAAACAGATACAAAATATTGCAAAATAAGTGATATGTGAACAGCTTACTAGACAAATCTTAAGAAAAGAAAAATATACACCAAATACATAAAAAGGAACAAACAAAAATCTGTTATTACAACTACATTGAGAGTTTTCCAGATATGAAAAACCATCTTTGAATAGATTGATTTCCAATTTAAGTTACAGGATATAAACCTAGTATTCTTGAGTCCCAAATTTAAAAAATTGAAATTTACTTCTCTTATAAGAGGTTTAAATAAGCAAATGGTTTTCACCATCTTATTTCTAATTGTCATGTTTTATTTTATTTTATTTTGGGTTAAAAGTAAATGGAATATGAGATAAATAATAAGCAACATTTCACATTAAAGAAATAAATTTGTACAAGATATTTTGAAGTGTATTAATATATGATTTTTCAAGAAACAAATAGAATAATAAATAACAGTTGAAAGGGACCTTGGAGGTTGTCTAATCCAACCCCCCCACCCCCCACCGTTCAAGCAGGAAACCCTACACCATTTCAGACAAATGGTTGTCCAATCTCTTTTTAGAAACTTCAAGTGTTGGAGCATCCACAACTTTTGGAGGCAGTTTGTTCCACTTATTAATTGTTCTAACTGTCAGGAAATTTCTCCTTAGTTCTAAATTGCTTCTCTCTTTGATTAGTTCCCATCCATTGCACAACACAACTCCCTGCTCAGCTGAAACATTGTCGTCATCACAAAGAACTGAATCTGCCCCCTTCATATCAGTATTAAGTTTAACAAGGGCATTGTATCTATTGTGCAGGGACACACCAAAAGCTTTATGTTTATAGTCCACAGCTCTCACTCTGCCAAATCCAATACTGCTACTTAAAGGATAAGCATATCTTGGATGTATATTATTGTAATAAAATAATAGCATTTTGTAGCAAATTATTAGAAGTATTATGTAGCAAATTCATAGTTTTAAAGGTAAAGTCAAATATTTTCATAAATGGTTATATAACTTTTAGGGAACTCTAGGATCATGTGGACTTTCCCAAAGAACACCATCTATGAAAACGATTTCCAATACTTTTAGTTTTGAGGTAGACATGCATTCAGAAAACAAAGCAACCTGTACTCCAATGAAGGAACTTTGCGTACAGTGGTACCTTCCCTCTTTGGTAAAATCATCAAATGAAGAAGAGACTATGGTATGGTAACAAATGTAATGCTTTAAATATAATGGACTGCTGTGCATATCTATACATTTGTATTTTGTTTATAGCCCACCTTTATTATTTTTACAAATTCAAGGTGGCAAATATATTCAACATGCCTATAGTGTCTATGTACATGATGCATGGCCCACATTATTTTGCTATTACAGATAAAATTGAGTTAAAGAAAAATTACAACAAGCAAGCAAGCAACTAAGAAAAAATGCTATTCAAGCAGGATGCCAGATTTCTCAGATTTGGAGCTTAAGCCTTTTCCAGTTGTTGTCTGAATCCTTCTAGGATTAGTGGGTCAGAGACCTAGGAGTAGTTGACTATTTTATATCATTTTAGTCACTGACATATGATCCAGCAGAAGATGTCTGTTGGATGGGCAATCAGATAAGCATAAAGCTATATGCATATTTTCCTTTAGTTTTTAAATATATTACTATATATGGACCTGAAGAGTAACAAATATATGTATATCATGTTGTGGTTATTATTAAATATGCAGTTTCAACAATAATATTAATCAAGTATTTCTTCTTTGTGCAGGTTTTGTTCATTTTTGCTTATAATGTAAAACCTGTCAGAATTATCAACATCAATTCCTTCAATCCAGCCAACATATACTGTGGTTATTTATGGATCCCACTGAACAGGTAATTTAATTAATTTTGTTTTATTATATGTTTTATTTCATACAAAATGTGTGCCTTGTTGATATTGTGTGGTGAAGGGTAATAAGCATAGTCAAAACAGCCTTTTATCAATGTTCAAAAACAGTAACAAAATCAAATAACCTATGCTGGGCAGGAGCACATATGTGGCACATTATCCAGGTGTTGTAATTTCTATTTCTCCCCTACCTATGTTGTCAGTGCCCCAAGGCATGTTATATGATAATCAAGGGCAACTCTTAGGGTGCTATGAGGGAAAAGTGGGAATTAAGTACTTTATCTACAGAATACTAATCATAAGCTTTTGGATTCCAGCCAATGCATACTGAAGAAACATCTGTGGTGCTACATTGGGGAATTTAGAAGTAATGAATAAGTAAATTAGTCTGGAGATCAAATGTCAGATGATGACATTTATCAAATAAGAAATGAAAAAGTACTGGTAGCATCTATAAAACCAGGATCATTTATCAGAAGAAAGTCTGTTGAAGAGATAATTCCAGCAGAAGAATCTGAAATATTTTTAATGTTAAACATAATCCAAGTTGTCAGAAAATTATAGGATAACAAAATTTACACTTAAGACTATGTAAACAAACTCTCAATAATACCAAAATTCTAGTATATTTTTCCTAATTTGTACTATAGATGCTTCCAATGTACATTTAGAGAAAAAGCTTCTGTAGAATATGAGAAGTCTTAGAATGTGAAAGTTTTAGATGACCATCAAATGTAGTAGTATTTATATGGTACACCAGCTCTGTGGAATTAGTTTTTTCTGTAGGTTAAAGATTTAAGTTACACAGATGAAGCAAGTGTTTCCACAAAATAATGTTAACAAGAAAGAAGCAATTTGGGAAAGGCTTGATACAATTGTGCCTGTCGGTGTTGTTCTGTTTAAGTTGTTTTATGTGAAATAACTGTCAGTTCTTGCCAATACAGAGAAATCTCTGTAATGTCCATATTATGTTCTTATTAGAATATTCCAGCATATGTAGCAGAAATAGTACACTGCAGTCTTTATGTGCTTTGGGTTCCATTATGTTCAACTTGTAAATAGTGATCTAGTTCAAGATCCAGTCTGAGTGGATCACTGGAAACAAAGGTTTATTCTTCCAAGCATTTGGGTCATGCTGGAGCCCATCATCTGGGGACTTCTCTGTCTTCACCAGAGCCAGTAATCTGATTCTTCTATAGTTCTGAAATATACTGTATCTTCTCTTGAGATACTGATCTATCCTTGCCTACATATTTTGCTGCTCTGTTATGTCACATTTCTGCTTCCGTTCACAAGCAGGATATTGTACTGTATCCCTTGCTACACTCTCCTCACCCAACTGATTACAATCATTCTGACTTCTATGTGATGGCTTTTTCATTTCCATTTTTTGTCCTACACATAGTGTTTCCTTTTGAATTTCTCCTTCCTCTCTTCCTCCTCCTCCTCCAACTTTTCTATGACTTGCTTCTTATATTCTAGAATATTAGCATTTCCATTCTGCATCAATGTTCGTAATTAATCTTTTCATACCATGTCTATCAGGCCACAACTATGTTGAATTCTCTTGTAGAAGCATTATCATAGGTAATATGAAGTCTTCTCTCCTACTTTAAAGGCAGCAACTACAACAAAGACTTTTCTGTCTTAATCTTATTATTCAATGTGACAGTTTACTCATACATGTACAATATCACTATAATTCTATTGAATAGCATTCATATTATATTCTTTTAGAGTTATTGCTGTACGTGAAAAATTGGCTGATTTGAAGCAACAAGTTGAAATGTTAATACAGTCACAGATGACTGAACAGATTGAAATACAGAAAAGTTTACCTTCTAAAGGACTTGGAACTCATACAGGAAAAGTGCTATTGGATGAAAACACAAAGGTATCTAAACAATTACCAGAATCAATTATCAGATATTATTAGAAATATTATAGCATGGAAATGTGTCTATATAACATATAAACGTAGGGGCTCTTAGAACTGTTCTTGATTTGAATGTTCCTTTTTAAAGCAAGACTGTTTTATGAAAAAAGCAGTATCTCACTCAAGGTTCAGGAATCTCTGTAGTAAAAGTGTGTTTGAAATGTATGCTTGGAATTTTATATGTCTTTTTCTTCTAAGACAGGAGGATCATATTTTATGCTGCATTTTAATGTTATTTTTCAAGGGATGAATTTTATTTTACATCTGTGTAACAGATTGGTAATAGTTCTATTTAATGTTTATATTATTCTGCTTTTTTAGAATTACTGCTATATTTTGATTTCCCCACAAATACTGACTTTATTATTGAATATTGAAGAAATTTTACTTAAGAACAATTGGCAAGATTTCTGCAAACTTCTTCCTCACTGATCGTTCAAGATTTCTTTGAGAAAGTCGGCAAACAGATACATCATAAAGAGCCTATTAGTAGCTCTTCCAACTAGTAAATTTTATTAAAACACACCTTTCATGATCTGTAACTTACTTCATCAGATGCATAGAGCAGCTAGAAATAAGATTTAAATAGGGATGAGATGGAGAGTGGATAACGGAGGGCAAGACAGCTTTGTTATGCAAATGTAAGTTACATATGACTCAAGCTACAAGTACCTTATCAATCAAATTTCTGCTTTAACAGCAGCATCATGTTACTGTCCCAATTTCAGCATTACTTTTGAGTGAAAGATTGCTGAACTCACATACTTCAAAAAGTTTCAGGCAATCTTAAAAGATCTCCACAAACATTATGGGCTATTTAATCCATTTTCAGAATATTATATATATTAGGGAAATTGTTATGAGGAGAACTAACTTAGCTGCAAAGGTAGTATTTCTTCTTTTTTAAAGCCAGTGCAATCTACAAAGCCATGTCAGCATTTTTGCCATTTTACACATTTTTAAACAATATACATTATATGCATTATTTACAAAATATATTATATGCATTATTGTTGATTAGCAACCAAAGTTGGAATTGACAATTCCCTTGGTAAAGGCACTAAGTGGAAAATCACATTGCCATGGCAGGCTTATGATGTAACTTCATATTCAGTCATTAAGTGAATCACCACAGTAACTAATCATGTCATCAGATGACCATGACTTATAATTTTACTTCCATGCTTTTCATAAACTCTGCTTGTTGCAAGCCAATTGGGGAGCATGCAAATGATAATCATATGGTTGAAGGATGTAGTAACTTACCATCGTTAATTTCAAACAATTATTAAATGAAGCAAGCAGAAAATGAGAACTCTCTATGCTATTTATTATATAGCATAAGCTATAATAATAAAGCAATAATTATTTCTACATAGCAAAGCTGAGGTGTTTATCTGTTTTTTTGATAGTTTCAAATCCTTGCAGCTTTTCTCAAGCAACTATTCTCATGTTCCAGGCAAGTCTCTAGGGGTAAAATGGACAAGTGTTCCATCTGTTTATATTTTCAGATAGTTGCCACTTGTTTTGTTGTCTTTTTTCTAGCAACTTTGCAAAGGAAGTTCTAGGGAGATGTATTCTGAACAGGATTGGTACCAGTGGTGAGATATCCTGGTAATGTAGAAAATGTTATGGGTTGCATTCTAGTCTGTCTGAATTTTGTGGAGCATTTTAGAAGGTAGATCCATGTCAATTACATTACAGTGATCTAAAATGGAGATGATAATCACAAATCTTTAATTTTTAAATAAAGGCAGAACTCATATATACATTCAGATGCTAAAAAACATTGGGGCAACTTGCTTTTTTTAATATCTAAGCATCGGAGTGTTAACTAATTCCAGAGGTTTAGGGAAGGACAACCCCATTCACAGTGATGTGCGGTGGGGTTTACGGTTGGTGAGGCAAGAGTGTGGCGGCGGCGAGAAGCAGCGTCCCGGCTGCTGTCCCCGACAGAGGCGTCTCGTGTTTATGTCCACCATAGACGCAAGACGCCTCTGTCAGACACAGCGGCGGGGATGGAGGGGGCGAGGCGGCAGCTGGCGAAGAAAGGGGAGAGGAGGAGGAGAAAAGGGAGAGGGGAGCAGGACGGGGCTCTCGGTGGGGGGGATTGGAGAAAGGGAAGGGGGGCACAGCAGGCAAAAGCAAGAAAGGATTTGAAACTATCAAAAAAACAGATAAACAAATTGAGAGAGAGTTTTTTTGAGTGAAGAAACAAACACACGCACACACAGACACAAATTACTCACAATAAAAAATTACTTACAAATTACAATAATTTTGAATCCCTCCCCCCTGCCCACATACCTTTTCCAGCTGTGTCACAGAGGATTTCAACTCTTCTCTTGTCCGCCATGATGAAAATGTAAAAAATGTAAAAAGAAAAAAGGCAAAAGCTGATGCTGCCAGAGCAGGAGGAGGCGAGGGAACCACGTGCCTCCTTTGCATAAGGAATTTTTCGCCTTTTAACCCTTGCTTAACTCTGCTCTAGTGATCATAAAGATAGAGTAAAGGAGGCACGTGGTTCCCTCGCCTCCTCCTGCTCTGGCAGCATCAGCTTTTGCCTTTTTTCTTTTTACATTTTTTACATTTTCATTATGGCGGACAAGAGGAGAGTTGAAATCCTCTGTGACACAGCTGG